ATATATTTAAGAGATGTACACTTAAACATTCATCATAGTCATAGAAGAATGTGCGTGAAATATTGAAAAAAAAAAACAGTTAGCCATCATCACAGAACGCACAACTTTATCTGATATATAGGCACATGGTAAACACTTGATACATTTAGTGACTTACATGTAAAGAACAGCGTGTGTAGAAGTCTATAGAACAGTATAATTCATAGATCTTTGTTATAATATGTCATTCTAGGTACCATGCTGCTACGTTGACGCCATCAGAAGGTTAAAATGCGCAACATTTACATGTGTTATTGCTTCCTGCAATAAATGTCATACAATAAATCAAAAGTTGTTATCACTCAGAAGATCCAAAACACCTTCAATCTGTACCTTTAATCAATAACAATATTAATAATATGTTTCGTCAAAGCTCCTACTGAGATCAGCAATATCATGTAGCGAAAAATCTTAGTAAATTTATGCACTTCACCTGGATTGGTGACAGTTATGAGCTAATGCGTTTCCGGAGATTTGTGTTTTTAAAACACAAAGTTTGCATAACTAAGGCAGTGCGGTACGTCATGCAGTGCTGTAACAGTTACAGTTTATTTGTAACTAGTTACAGTTATAGTTACATTGCCAATAACATAACTAGTTACCGATACAAGTTACAGACGCCAAAGTGTAACTAGTTACAGTTACAAAGTTACAATATATTTTTTGTAACTTAGTTACAAAATTACAAGTTACATTTATTGATTGCAGTTGAGAACGCATACAATTCGAATGTGCCGAATGGTAATGAAACCTGCGGCAAAATTATTGGCAAAATTAATAACTATTTACTAGATGTATCTGCATGCATCTGTAAAATTCCACCAAATCGATTTTTTAATAGAATTGTCAATTAAAAAATCTCTGCTATTATATCTTGAGGCAGTTCTGTTGTCGAGATTAGAAATTATTCCACAATGCAGATGATTAAAGAGCTTGCCTGACTATATTGCGCCGATTGTTGCAATATTCAATGTAATATATTTGTTCAATTTAATCGCAATATTCATTCAATTTAATTGTCATATTTTCATTCAATTTAATATTTTTATATTTATTCAATTTAATATTAAAATATTCATTCAATTTAATTGTCATATTTTCATTCAATTTAATATTTTTTATATTTATTCAATTTAATATTAAAATATTCATTCAATTTAATTGTCATATTTTCATTCAATTTAATATTTTTTATATTTATTCAATTTAATATTAAAATATTCATTCAATTTAATTGTCATATTTTCATTCAATTTAATATTTTTTATATTTATTCAATTTAATATTAAAATATTCATTCAATTTAATTGTCATATTTTCATTCAATTTAATATTAAAATATTCATTCAATTTAATATTAAAATATTCATTCAATTTAATAAATATTTATTCAATTTTAAACTTTAACATATTTATTCAATTTAATGTTTGTATATGCATTCAATTTAATTTCAATATCCATTCAATAAATCCTAAATTCATTCAATCTTTTCTTGCCGTAAGGAACCTGGGTACGAGGTTGACAATATATGTCAATTTCCCGCGCTTTTGCATCCCGCCATGTTTGGTTCGCGTATGCGAATGTTTTAGAGCGACAACAGTGTGTTAAAGGTATTTTAAAACAGATTTAACGATGGACAAAAGAATATCAGATGCGGCAGAACTGCTGCGACAGGCTTCGAGTATGTTACTGTCAGTAGATCCAGGAACTTCTTCATCTCCAGCTTTAGTGCGAAGCCCAGAGGCAGAGTCTGAACGTCCGACAGTAAGACCACAGGGAAGATCAGTAAACGAAACCCTCGCAAGAGCAAGGAGTATGATGCAAAGCAGTAGAACCACTGGAGTGTTTAGGCGGCTTAGCAGCAGCGAAAGATTGAGAGCAACTTCAGGACCAAAGGAAAAGAAAAGCAAAACGGCTTCTTCGACTGGTAGTAAAGATAAACCTTTCGAATTTGCCCTGCTTGCTTGTGGAGATGTCGACAGTGATGAACCAGATGACAGCTTGAAGAAGGACATGATTCTGGATCGAGGTATTGTGAGTCTTAATGAAAAAGATAACGAAGCCGCTATTCGTGAAAAACTTGTTTCATCGCTTAAAGGCAAGTATGGCATGATTGGTCAAAATGATTTTGAATTTATAAAAGTAAATCAGAAAAAAATCTCGGTTCTACATTTAAGTAAAGGAACAGAGTATAATTACGACGTTGTCAAGAAACTTGTAGGACAAGGGCTTTTGTACGTTAGAATTAGAAGGGGATATGAATTTGTAATTGAACAAACTTCAGATTCTGGATCAGACTTTGTAATGACATATCCTGCTGCTGAGAATGATGCTAAAACTGAAGCACATCTTTCAGAAGACGAGAACATGCCCCAGTCAGGACTAGCAGATGAATTACCTGTGGCTGCACAGCCACCCATCTCAGTAGATCTATCTCAGCAGCCTGGTTCAAGCACAAATATAGAAAGTCCTCACACGTTCTTTGACACGGTTGTAAATGAGTTTCCATCAAATATAACTGAACCAACAGAAATCCTTAGATATCTACAAATGAAAATTGTTAGAGGTAGACCATTGGAGGTAACTGATCCTTCCACAGACCTTCAAGGAGAAACAAACTTCATAACTGTAGACAGAGAGAACATTCTTCAAACTACTTTTGAGGAACTAAAATCTGTTGATGATCCCAGAGTCACATTCGAGGTCCAGTTTTATGCGGAACAAGCTGTTGACAGTGGTGGTCCACGTAGAGAGTGGATGCGACTTTGCAATCAACAAATCAAGATCAAGTATTTTGATAATGGTATCAATTTGTCGGAAGATTACTTCTATGTTGGACAAATGATTAGCATTGCTCTTCTACAAAATGGCCAGTTGCCTGTCTACATCCCTGAAGATATTTTGCAGGCCATATTTGTGGGGAAATGTGAGCAGTTGTCTCCTTGCATCATGGAGCTAAAGCGTGGTATGGATACATTGGGGATTCCAGCATTTGGAAGAAAATTTCCCCAGTTGTTGTACCTTCTCAGGCCATCAGCCATTGCCAAGTTATCAGTTCGCAGGCTTCTATTCCTGCTGAAACCAGCATTTTCTGAGGAAGGGTCCAACGCTCTGTCTCGTGAGAAAGCTGTGTATACAAAATTTGTAAAATACACAAGGGAGGTGTCCAGTGGCCGAAGGGTTGTTACTCTGGAAAACATTCTAGAATTTGCCACTGGAGCTAGTGAAGAACCACCCCTTGGTTTTACAAGATCCCCCAACATCCAGTTCATAGAAGTTGACAACAAAGAGTTGACTACAACAGAAAATGAGGTAAGCATTTTATTATTTGTATTTTCACCATTTAGTTGTCATATTGTTATACTAAATTGCTATTTTACAATTAACCAAATATTCACCGAAGGCGAGGTGATTACAAGCCTATATTCACTGAGCTGCGAAGTGAATATAGTCTTGTGATCACCAAGCCTGAGGTGACTAATTGTTTTAGTATAAATTCAGTATTGAAACATAATAATATATACAAACGTTTATAAATAAGATTTACTTCACCTTTAATTTCTTCAATTCTTTCTTCCATGATTTGTTTGCAAACTGTGGATTTTCGACAGCCATTTTGTTTTGGAAGCAATAGTTTACTGCTCAGAGAAGTCTGAGCACCAGTCAGAATGCTTGAAAGCCATTTTCAATACTGAATTTATACTAATAACATTTAGCATTTCCCAATCAAGCAGGGTACTGGTTCAAATTGATATTACAAAGCATCCATGTATTGTTGGGAAGGATGATCACAGATCATTTACATTGCTGTCTTTTCAAACATACTGTACCATAGAGGTAAAATGCTTTGCAGTCTCAATTGCACCCAGGATCCTTTAATCAATCTCAATACATTACATTGTTAGTAAAATAATCTAATGTATTAGAGGCAAACCTAAAGCAGATTCAAGATTCACTACTATAGGATTCCTTGCTCAATTGGAAAAATTCTGATACCATAGAGACACAAGGTCATATGAATATTATAGGAAGATTTCTTAGCAGGTACAACAGGCTTGTATATGGCAGAGAAGGGCTCATGATCTGATGTGTTTTTTTCTGTATTCAACAAACTAATACATCTAATTAACCAGGGAGAATAGTTGGGGATAATGTGTGGATTCTACAGTAGGTCTCCAAGGTAGTCCCAAACTTGCAAGTAGAAACAGGGCTTTAATTAACAGCTTTTGATCCTATATAGACCTTTAACACCCACATTTGAATTTATGGTTTAAAGAACATATGAATGTTCTTTACTTTATAGAGCAACCAAGTGTCAGAAGAAGTACAGCAACTTAATGAAAAGAAGAAAATGTGGTATTTCACACCAACAGCCCATACATGTCCAAACACATTGCAATTGCCAACAGAAAGCATGGTTCTTCCTCTTCCCTCTGAAGAAGACCTGTTCCAATTGTATGATATGGCATTCAAGAACACTCACTTTGGTATTAGATAGAGCTGAAAAACAAAGCATTCAATATGTTTTTCAAGTTTAGGAGAAAATACTAGTCATCTTTATTAGCAATGATATTGGAGTTATCTCTATTCATTACAAAAACATGTTTCAGTTTTTAAGAAACAGGGGAACAAAGACCAGTACAGTAGTGTTACGGTAGCTTGCATGTGATGGGATAATGATAGTCTTTACGACATGTTGTGTTACTTTTAGTTGTTTTTGTTAGAAAGTTCATTTAGTACTGTGATTGTTAATTTTACTGAATGTTCAAATTTCTTCGCTTGAATGTTCCAAAACACAATTTTGAAGTTTTCCTGAACATGTTTAACTTTATCTGGGATAATATGTTAAATCCACACACACACACATTCCCCTCGCCCTTTATCACTCTCAAACTTTAGTTTGGTGTAAAGAGGACATATTGTATCAATGCGAGGCTTGATGGTGAAGACAGTGCAAGGGAAAACCCACACTGGTCATACAGTGTTACTGTAGGCAAATTTTCTCCAACTGGAGCAGGCACACTTTTTATTGGACGTCTAATTAAATATTTCAAGGTCTGTATGTTACCCAGTGCTGGTAATTTTGTATCTAAACTCCGCTGACAAATTAAGCCTGCAGAAGTGGGAGAAAATTTGCTAAAAATGACCATTGGGCACCATTAGGCAGCGTCGCAAATATTTAGACATAAAAATATATGCTATTTACTCAATTTTACACCACCTTCCTTTGTAATACTGTAATTCATGTTATAACCAAATTCTCTTAATTTTGGTTTCCATTAAATCGTAATCATCGCAATAGTCGCGGAACGCAGACATCGCTATCGCAAAAATCAATCTTTGCGACTTTGTCATATAAGAGTCTTACAGTAGTTATCGGCGTGACTCAAGTTTCCAATAAATCGCAGTTTTTATTAAAAATTTCGCGTTTTTTAAATCGTTGCGATGCGGTTCTTGTGATAATTACGATTTAATCAAAAAATTAAATAAATAATAAATAAATTAAATGGAAACCAGGCTTTAGTGAGAAAAGCTAAACAATTAGATGTGAGTCAGTATCTTCTCATGTACCAAAATGTTCATTAAGAGTTTGTTAGTTCGTCAATCTTTAGTACTACCAGTTCTAAGGCTTCAGTATAAATGTCTACCCCCATTTCATGAGATTGTTGCAAGGGATCGATTGTTTCAAGAATAAATGATGTTAGCAAGTTATCATGCGGCAGGTGGACTGCTTCAACAATTACATTGTTGTCACTTCCAACTGAAGATGGTCCATGGGGGTCATGTCCATACATTTCCAAATCATATGGCTCTTCATCTAGCTCTGCATGTGCCAGTGGATTATCAGGATGAAACATTCCATTTATCCACATTTGGTTTGGGGAACAGTTTCTTTCTGTGCGTACCTTGTGGTGGTTAAATGCTTCTCTAAACTCATCAAGGGCCTTGTTGATCCTGGGAATAAAAATTAAGTGCAGCGTGAAAAGATGAACAGGATTATTTGCGTCAAGGATACCAGTAGACTCCATAGCATAGAAGATATAATAGTAAAGATGGCATACACATCGAAAAACATCCCTCCACAGTCGTTCGATGCGCTGGTTGTGAGTTGAAGGTCCAGCAATGAAGCTTCCTCTTCCTTCTCCCCTAGCTTGTACCATGGCATCGCATACTAGCACATTTTCAACACCCTTGTCAACCCTGATGCGTGAGGGCCATAAGTTCCCATCCATTTTTACGGCATCCAAAAACAGTTCAAGAACAGTTTCTGCAAGATTGTTTGCACTACATCTTAAAAAACATTATTCGTCTGGAATAACCATCTATGCAACCGTGAATAACCATCTTCCATCTAATCAAAGAATGATGGCCATCCAGGTGCCATAGGGAATTTGGCCAAGGAACTTGATATTGCCTGCGAGAAATAACAATACCCCAACGCAATGCAGTGTTGTGTGGGTCAACTCTTGCCATACTTTCTCTTATTCTTTTTCTTTGAATTCTTAAGCCAACTGACTTCAGGTAACCTTCGACATAACACTGTCCAGTTGTGCAGCCATGATTTAAAATAAATTCTTTGACTTTTTCATCAAGTTCTTCGTCAGGCAAGTGATGAAATCCAGTCATATTTTCCAAACCATACTCTGCTACCCGTCTATGAATTGTCCACCTAGACACCCCCAAAATTTCTCCTATCTTAGTCCAACTAAATCCAAGTTCTCGAAGCTCTTCAAGCATTTCAGCACGGATAACAAAACGTGGTCTTCCAGGACAACCATTTGCCTCAGTTGCTACCTCAGTTTTGTTCTCATAAACCGTAGTTGGAGATCTTATGGCATTTCGATGGTGTAACAGCGATAGTACATCAGTAAAAACGGTGGCAAGTGTATTCAGATTCATCTTGTCTTGAGTCTCGACATCGGCGCACTCACTTATTGATCTAATCAAACGAATACTTTGATCAATAACTTCAGCATGGGATTCGGCGACTTCTAGGTCAACATCACTTTGAAAAATAGATTCTACGTTGTCTAAAACGGACTCTAAAAACATTGGCAGGTCATTTTCAACATTAAAGACTTCTTCATCCGCCATGTTTGTCAAAACTGGTAAACTGCTCGCCCCAGTCTCTCGAGATTGAATGAATTTAGGATTTATTGAATGGATATGGAAATTAATTTAAATTGAATGCACATACAAACATTAAATTGAATATGTTAAAGTTTAAAATTGAATAAATATTTATTAAATTGAATGAATATTTTGATATTAAATTGAATAAATATAAAAAATTATTAAATTGAATGAAAATATGACAATTAAATTGAATGAATATTTTAATATTAAATTGAATGAATATTTTGATATTAAATTGAATGAAAATATGACAATTAAATTGGATGAATATTTTAATATTAAATTGAATGAAAATATGACAATTAAATTGAATGAATATTTTAATATTAAATTGAATGAAAATATGACAATTAAATTGGATGAATATTTTAATATTAAATTGAATGAAAATATGACAATTAAATTGAATGAATATTGCGATTAAATTGGACAAATATATTTCATTGAATATTGCAACAATCGGCGTGCCATACCCGGGACTGTCCCGGTTTGGACTATGTTGTCCCGGTGTCCCGGTTTTCTTCTTATTGTCCCGGTTTCTGTAGTATTTTAATAGTTGTATTCTTTAAATAAGGCTCATGTAACAAATATTAATGAAATTCGTTTGGTTCAATACATATTAATGAAATGGGAGCTTCTAGTTGCCCCAAACAATTGTTTTGACAATTTTAATAGCGTTCGCTTTCAATTCCTATTCATTTTGCCAGGGCTACATGAAGTAAAGCAGCGTAACAGAAGCGGGCGCAATAATCGCGGGCTCTTGAATACGAGAGGACATATGTCACAGGTCAAAAGACCAGTAGTAAAACGAAACAATTTTGCCGGTACAGTACTTCAATGAAATTAAAGGCCATTAAAATAAAGCTTGTTGGCAGGGCCGTAGCAACTGGGGGGGGGGGGCTGCAGCCCCCCCCCCCCAATAATTTTCTAATAATCATTCTTTTTTCAAAATCATGCAGACCTTTATCAATTTTAAGCTTTATTAGTTTTAAGCGGCTACATTATCCATGACCAAGTGCAAAGAATGAAGATATTACCCACACTTTCCTGCAACTTATCCAATATATAGTCAATTAAATACACCTTCGCCCATTTAGTACTACGAAATTGTAGATTTCGACATACTAAAACGCTGTTTTCTGACTATCAGAATTCTGTCAAATCTTCCCCAAAGTCCAGGAAATGGCATTTCAGAGACTCTAAATTTAAAAATTTCCTCGGGCCTTCGGCCCTCGCTTTTAGCTCCCCCCCTCCCAATAAAAAAAGAAGCTTCCTATAGCCCTGTGTTGAGAAGATGTTATATTACTTATTTAAATGGTTTCAACGTTAGTGTAATAAAACTACTTTTTGTAGCATCCACTGTGAATTTATTGTTTAATTCAAACTCAACTCAGCCAATTTTAACACTAACCCAAATAGACACCACATCAATGAGAAAAGCGCGGCATTTATTAGAGGGAGGCGTTTATTTAATTTAAGTAAAATGGGAAAATTTGGAAGTGTCCCGGTTTTGAGGACTCGGAGGTTGGAATGTCTGGTCATTATTGAAAGGATGTATTATCAAATTTTTTGATAAAAATTTATCCGAAGGGTTGTTTAAAATAGGAAATAATTCTGAATAGCATGGTATTGGGGATGAGGTTTTCTGAGGAATTGCCTGGATTTTAACCAAATTTTTCAGGGTAACCTGTAAATACACCCTTTCAATTATTACGTCACACATACTTTTTGCTCTTGGAGTCCCAGCTCACAATTCATGAGTGCAAGGCTCCCAGGTCAAATGATGTAATTATTGAAAGGATGTATTATCAAATTTTTTATAAAAATTTATCCGAAGGGTTGTCTAAAATAGGAAATAATTCTGAACAGCATGCTATTGGGGATGAGGTTTTCTGAGAGATTGCCTGAATTTTAACCAAATTCTTAAGGGTAACCTGTAAATACACCCTTTTCGATATTTACGTCACACATACTTTTTGCTCTTGGAGCCCTGGATCTCAATTTATGAGTGCAAGGCTCCCAGGCCAAATGACGTAATTATTGAAAGGGTGTATTATTAAAATTTTGGATAAATATTTATCCAAAGGGTTGTCTAATATAGGAAATAACTCTAAACAGCATGCTATTGGGATGAGGTTTTCTGAGGGATCCCTGAATTCTTAGGCCAAAAAAAAAATATGTGGGTTTCCGGTTTCTTCTTATAAAAACTTAGGTAGGGTAGGTCGGTTTTAACTTTTTTTTTTAAACTTTTTTTTTAATTTTCCGAACAACCGGACGCCATTTTGTTTAGTCAGTGCTTCCACATCCAAAGATAAATTTCCCTAATATTGCCTCAAATTTCAATTTTCCACAAACTTTTTCCTCTAAGTGGAAACACTTACAAGCGTGATCCAATAAAAAAGTTTAGGGTCGGGATTTCGACGTCCAAAAGCTAGGTAGGGTCGGGAAACCGGAAACCCACATATTTTTTTTTTTGGCCTTAGGGTTGGTGCACCAGGACAAAAAATTTATGGTGATTTGTGCGCCTGACAGGGGGACGGAGTGATGGGGTTGGGCATTGGTTTATAATTATTGTAGAATATGTATAATTATTGTTTATAATTATTGCATGTTTTTGCAGGAATATACCCGGGAATGCAAGAATGATTTGGCTGTTCAGATATCAAACTACAATCATCAAATAATGCAATGTCAGCATTTTATTGTTCTCAGTGTGAAAAATATTAATAGAAATAAAATATACATATGCTAGTATCCTGATAGATAGAACATTGTATTATTATAAGGTGTCGCATACACTGGTAGTGATGTTACTTTGAGTGTGTTAACACCGGGCAAGCAGAAGAGTTTGCTTGACAGCGGTGGGAATTGAACCTGCGACCTTTGGTTTGCTAGTGCAATGCTCTACCAACTGGGCCATACATGTACGGGGTCAAGTTGGTAAGAAAACCAGAAGTCGTGGGTTCGATTCCCACTGCAATCAAGCAAGAGGAGCATCATAAACAAACAGTGGTCTACATATTCATCTATATCCCACTAACAATGAATAAAATCATTCAAAAAAGAAACTGTGTCCATTTATTATCTGTGTAATAAGGGTATAGTTTTTAGAAATGAATAGATTCAAACATATTCCCAGCCATGTTGTCATGATATTCAGTGTCTTAGCACTGTTGCAACATGTGACATGATTATGGCTGTCAGCAGGTGGTATGCGATAAATCATTTCTGGCAAATGTTTTTGTCATGAGAAATGAAATCAATATTGCAGGTGAGAAAAAGAAACATTTCCTAGTTCATTCAATATTGTAGAATGCTGTTTTATAGTGAAATAAATCAAGATATTCCTTGAAAATTTGTCTTCCTTGGAATACACTCTTTTGATATTTATGTCACAACTCCTTCCTTGTCCAGGAAACCTTTTGTTCATGAATTTATTTTTTTATGAGAGTGTGGCTTCTAGACCAAAGGAATATTTGTGATTTAATTACCTAAAGGGTGTATTGAGATGGGTGAAAGTAAAAATATACTGTAGTTATATGTAGATGGTGGTGATCATATCTTGGTTAAAAGAACAATGCTCTAAAATGCAACAATATTTTACTTGCTGTATTTACATTTTACTGATTTTAGAGCATTGCTATATAAAAGTAAGAGAAATCTTACTGTTTATATAAAATAATTATTTTTGTTTTTCCCAAGGAAGCAAAAAGGCTCACAATACTCAGGAGTGGTTTTCACCAATCTCTGATCCCTGCATGGAAAATAGCTCTAAGGGAATATCTTTATATCTCGATATATTTCACCATGAAATGGATGTCTAATACTCCGCTTTCCGCTGAGTCGACGACTTATTGCTGACAGCCATAATCTCGATTCATGCCGAAACAATGCAGGGCATTGCGGAGCTAGCCAAAATTTCCGCAGCATGCCATTTTATTAATATGCCAACTGAGAGATCGGCAGAACGACTTTCAGTCGGAGTCCAGCTCCAATTCTACGGCCACTGTGCACAAGGCATCCCTTATCTTCCTCGCATCATTTCCAGCATTGTGGCAAACAACTTCTTGTAAAACTACGTCAATAGTCCTAAACTTTCCACTCTGTTCGCCCGCCATTTTGAAAGTTTCGCTCGGTATACTTCATGTAACTTGCATGTTTTGAATACTTTTGCAACGAAAACCGCTGCCCACCGCGTATCGCATATTGGCGCTTTTGGATGCATTTTTGACAGGCGTGACTTAGATGTTTATGCCGTTGAATATGTTAGAATGGTTATACCGAAGACAGTCATCGGCATAACCATTCAACGTGGATGGTGATGCCGTTGACTTTCTTCGGCATAATCATTCAACTTACGCACGGCATAAACGTTCAACATATATGTTTATGCCGTTGAATATATTTGAATGGTTATGCCAGAAAATCAACGGCATTACAATTCTACTTGGATGGGGATGCCGTTGACTGTCTTCGGCATAACCATTCAACTTATGTTCGGCATAAACATTCCACTTAGATGTTTATGCTCTTGAATATGTTCGGCATAAACATTCAAATTAGATGTTTCTGCCGTTGAATATGTTCGGCATAAACATTCAAATTAGATGTTTATGCCGTTGAATATGTTCGGCATGAACATTCATTAAACTTAGATGTTGATGCCGTTGAATATGTTTGACTGGTTATGCCGAAGAAAGTCAACGGTATAACCATTCAACTTCGATGGTTATGTCGTTGACTGTCTTCGGCATAACCATTCAATTCATATTCGGCATAACCATTCCATTTTGATGTTTATGCCGTTGAATAGGTTCGGCATAAACATTCGGCTTAAATGTTTATGCCGTTGAATATGTCTGAATGGTTATGCCGAAGACAGTCAAAGGCATAACCATTCAACTTGGATGGTTATGCCGTTGACTGTCTTCGGCATAACCATTTAACTTTCGTTCGGCATAAACATTCAACTTAGATGTTTATGCCGTTGAATATGCCTGAATGGTTATGCCGAAAACAGTCAACGGCATAATCATTCAACTTGGATGGTTATGCGCTGACTGTCTTCGGCATAAACATTGAACTTACAAACTTCGATGTTTATGGCGTTGAATATATGTTCGGCATAAACATTCAACTTAGAAGTTTATGCCGTTGAATATGTTCGAAAAAAACATTCAACTTATACATGTTTATGCCGATGAATTAATATGTTTGAATGGTTATGCCGCAGACAGTCAACGGCATAACCATTCAACTTAGTTGTTTATGCCGTTGAACATGTTCGACATAAACATTCAAATTAGATGTTAATGCCGTTGAATATGTACGGCATAAACATTCCTCTTAGATGTTTATGCCGTCGAATATGTTTGAATGGTTATGCCGAAGACAGTCAATGGCATAAACATTCAACTTTAATGTTTATGCCGGTGAATATGTCTGAATGGTTATGCCGAAGACAGTCAACGGCATAACCATTCAACCTGGATAGTTATGCCGTTGACTGTCTTCGGCCTAACCATTCAAACATATTCGACGGCATAAATATCTAAGTTGAATGTTTATGCCGAACATATTCAACGGCATAAATATGTAAGTTGAATGTTTATGCAGAACATAAGTTGAATGGTTATACCCAAGACGGTCGACGGCATAAGCATTCAACTTGGATGGTTATGCCGTTGACTGTCTTCGGTATAAACATTCGACTTAAGTTCGGCATAAACGCGTGCTACTTAGATCTTTATGCCGTTAAATATGTTTAAATGGTTATGCCGCAGACAGTCAACAGCATAACCATTCAACTTGGATGGTTATGCCGTTGACTGTCTTCGGCATAACCTTTCCACTTATATTCGGCATAAATTTTCAACTTAGATATTTATGCCGTTGAATGTGTTCAGTGTGTTCGGCATAAACATTCAACTTAGATGTTTATGCCGTTGAATATGTTCGGCATAAGCATTCAACTTAGATGTCTATGCCGACGAATATGTTTGAATGGTTATGCCGAAGACATTTAACGGCATAATCATTCAACTTGGATAGTTATGCCGTTGACTGTCTTCGGCATAACCATTCAACTTATGTTCGGCATATAAACATTCAACTTAGATGTATATGCCGTTGAATATGTTCGGCATAAACATTCAACTTAGATGTTTATGCCGTTGAATATATTTAAATGGTTATGTCGAAAACTGTCAGCGGCATAATCACTCAACTTGGATGGTTATGCTGGCATGCTGCTGACTGTCTTCGCCATAAACATTCAACTTAGAATTTTATGCCGTTGAATATGTTCGGAAAGAAACATTCAACTTACATGTTTATGCCGATGAATTGATATGTTTGAATGGTTATGCGGCAGACAGTCAACGGGATAACCATTCAAAATGGATGGTTATGCCGCTGACTTTCTTCGGCATTACTATTCCACTTAAATTCGGCATAAACATTCAACTTAGATGTTTATGCCGTTGAATATGTTCGGCATAAACATTCAACTTAGATGGAAATGCCGTTGAATATGTTCTGCATAAATATTCAACTTAGATGTTTATGCCGTCGAATACGTTTGGATGGTTATGCCGAAGACAGTCAACGGCATAATCATTCAACTTGGATGGTTATGCCGCTGACTGTCTTCGGCATAAACATGCAATTTTTCCCCTTCTTGTCCCGGCCCTTCCTACGGGGCCTTTCTCCTTTCCCAACGCACGCTTTCATATTGTAAGTCTATTGCGCTTGTGCCACACCATGGTAACTACTAAAGATGAATTTCAATAGTTGTATCTTCTCAAAAAATTTTCCGAGACGCCATTTTAGACCATGCACTTGCACGCTGTTTGAAGCCCTTTAACCTTTTTGATCATATATCTGACTTAAGGCCTGATTCCACGAGGCGGAATTTTTCGACCGAAACGAAATTTCTCTTTGTCTTTTTACAATTAGTTCTGCTCGAAAGCTCATGAAACAAAGAGAAATTTCGATTCGGTCGAAAAATTTCGCCTAGTGGAAAACCGCCTTTACACTGCAGAGAACAACGAAAAATTCGTTGGCTCGAGCGGGATTTGAACTCGCAACTTCGGGTTTCTAAACCGCCGCTCTACCCATTAAGCTATCGAGCCAACAGAGATTCGTAGTGAGTTTTATTCCATTTAAGTGAACGAAATATTTTCATGACGACTTAACGCTTGTCTTGGAAACGAGCAGTGTTTAAATTCTATTTCAAAACTATCCTCATAGAGATATGAAAATTAATATCAGATATATCTGACACTGCAGAGAACAACGAAAAAATTCGTTGTCTCGAGCGGGATTTGAACTCGCGTCTTCGGGTTTCTAGACCCGAATGACAAGCGTTAAGTCATTCGGACAAGCGTTAAGGCGTCGCGAAAATATTTCGTGCACTTAAATGGAATAAAACTCGCTACCAATCCTTGTTCGCTCGATAGCCCAATGGGTAGTGCGGCGGTCTATAGGCTATAGAAACCCAAAGATGTGAGTTCAAATCCCGCTTGAGAAAACGATTTTTGCGTTGGTTTCTGCAGTGTCAGATATATCTGAAATTAATTTTCATGTAACTGCTCAGTGGCGGAAATCTTGGTTCCGGAAAATTGCCGAATTTTCGGAAATTTTAAGCTAAAAGAGGACAAAAAAAAGTCTTTTCGAGTGCAAATGGGGGTACGTCGGAAATTTAAAAGTTTTGTTGGAAATTTAGGAGGCTCCCCCCCCTGGAAAAAGTGAATTTCCGCCACTGTCACTGCTCGTTCTCCAAGACAAGCGTTTAGTCGTCGCGAAAATATTTCGTTCACTTAAATGGAATAAACGTCGCTACCAATCTCTGTTAGCTTGATAGCTCAATGGGTAGAGCGGTGGTCTGGAATGCGAGTTCAAATATCCCGCTCGAGACAACGCATTTTTCGTTGTTCTCTGCAGTGTCAGATATATCTGAAAGTACAATATGATTGCAGAATGTAGATAGCAATAAGATGAAACTTCGCATCTAAAAACCTTTGAAGATTTATTCTATAAAAAAATGTTTATTGTTCAACTTCGCGAGGACCTTCGTAGT